TGCAGAAGCGGCTTTAGATTCTCAGTGCTGTGCTTTAACCCGCTGCGCCACCAGGGAGGGCCTGGCTGCTTTTTTTTTTTTAAGATTTATTTATGCACACAAGACTTGGGATACAGGCCACAGGTGCAGGGGTGTGGGTGAGACTCCCCAGAGGCAGAGTGGGGAGCAGAACAGGCGGATTGACTGAACCCTGCTGCTAGGGGAGCAGTGGGGCACAGGAGGGTCAGTCCCAGGCCGGGCACTGAACTCGAGCTGCAGTGGGCAGCTTCATAGCCTTAACGCGCTGCACCACCAAGCCTTAACGCGCTGCACCACCAGGGAGCACTCATGGCTGCTTCTAACTGCAGACCTTTTGTTAAAATAGATTTTCGTTTAAATAATGTAGCACTCTAAGTAGGCTGCTAGAGCAGGATTAACCGCCCACCTGACGGGTCTGGAATAAGGCTGCCACCACGTATTCTGGCCGAATACTGAAACTTACTAGACGCACTTTCTTTCAGAATAAATCAAACTAGATCTCAACTATTTGCAGAATTTCCTCCAGTCAGAGGACATGACGGGCCGATAGTATCAGTGAGGGGATTTGCTGTGATTAGCTGGAAGGAGCGATTCTAGCGGAGACCAGTGTGGCTTCCTCACCCTCGGCGCCACAGCCAGGCCCGGAGCGGGCTGGGGGTGGGGGCGTCCTGCCGATGTGGCCACCATGCTGGACCTGCGCCCACCCCGTGAAGATGATGCCTTCCCTTCTTCTGCCCTTCTTGTGGATTAGCCCAACACTTCACGGACGGGAAAGTCCCAGAAACTTAAGAAAAAGTTTAGAAAGACCAAGGGGCTAAGGGTGCTCACCCTTCTGTTTGTTAAAGCCGCCGTGTCGTCGTCTTAGGGTGATGCAGTAATTATTGTAGATCCTTTCACTAGCACCTCCAGGACGGCCCTGAAACTGGAGCTAGCGCTTATTTGCTAACAAATAAAAACAAGAGAACTGATTGAACAAAGGATCTACCCGGGTGTCAGGACGGCCAGGGCCAGGCAGGCAGGGCTGGGATTCAAGTTCTGGCTGCTCTGGCCCTGGGCCTCTTGCAGGACCAGCGGGGTGCAGGCGTCAGGCAGAGGAGCTGGGGGTGGAGGAGGCAGTGCCCTGGGGAAGCGGGGAGCCCCCAGCCTGTGCGCGCGGGGTGGGGGCGGGGGGCTGTGGACTGTGGAGGCTACCCTGCCCCGCCCCCCGCCCCCCCCACCTGCCTGCAGCAGCCAGCGGGCGGGTCCTCAGGGCGCTGTGTCCAGCTCAGGCCCCGCTCCAGGCCCTGCTGGCCTGAGGCCCCCTTGTCCTCTCCTGGACCCGTCCCAGCTCGGCTCTGCACGCCAGGTGAGTCAGAGGCGCACTGCAGCCGCCAGGCTCCTACCACCACTGTCTGCAGCTTGGAGACTAGGCCCCTGCAGGGCCCCAGCAGGCCTGCTGCACCCTGCCGCCCCCCCAGCCGTGACAGACCCCCCAAGCCCGATCGTGACAGGCGCCCTGAGCTCAGGCCTTCAGGATTCTGCACGTTTCGTTGCCTGGGAGGCTGAGCCCAGCCAACGCCTACTCGCTCCCGGAGGCTTCGCGCTCTGTCACCTCCTCCAGGAAGCCCACCCCCTGTGATTTTTTTTTTTAAGTTTTATTTTATTTTACATTTATAGGATTTTGTTACTGAAAGTCGGCGAACGGGTGAGATAAGATCATTTTATGTGAAAGACATGAAACGTGACCAAATATGGTGAAGTCAAAAAGTCATTTACAAGTCACAGGGAGAGTATTGTATGTGGTTAGAAATTGGCTTTTTGTCTCGTCTTGTTTCTTGGTTTGGTTTGGGCGATGGAAACTGACTACTGATTGTCTAACTTTTTCTAAGTAAGTGAAAGTAGGTTTTTCACTCCAAAGATTACCTTTGTTCCTGTAGGTTTTTTGTTTTGTTTTGTTTTTAAGATCTTTTTATTTTGCACATAGAACTGGGGTGCAGGCCAGAGGTGCAGGGGCGGTGAGAGGCTTCGCCAGAGACAGAGTGGGGAGCAGAGCAAGCAAATGAATGAAGCACACTGCTGAGGGGGGCAGCGGGCGGGTCAGGGTGGTCTGCTGCGCCCCGGGGTCACCTCCCTGGCTGGGATCAAACTCGCGCTGCTGTGGCTGTGACGGCTTCACGGCGCTGCGCTCTGACCTGTTGCGCCACCAGGGAGGGCCCTGCCCCTGCACTTTTTTTTTTTTAAAGATTTATTTATTTATTCATACAGAACTGGGGTACAGGCCAGAGATGTGGAGGGTGAGAGGATTCACCAGAGAGACAGAGCGGGGAGCAGAACAGGCAGATCGACGAAGTCCACTGCTGAGGGGAGCAGCGGGCGGGTCAGGAGAGGTCTGCTGCGCCATGTGGGTCAGCTCCCGGGCAGGCGGGAATCGAACTCATGCGGAAGCGGCTTCAGCTTCTCAGTGCTGTGCCTTAACCTGCTGCGCCACCAGGGAGGGCCCCTGCACTTTTTAAAGAGGGAATTTAGGGAGGAAAGTTCCAGGCCAGAATCCCTGTCCCTTGAGACAGGGTAGTGTGGCCCCGAGGCTCTCTCCAGGGTCCTCCCCGGCACAGCCTGTCATTGTCTATCCTAATCGTAATTGTGGGGTCACCATCAGTCTTTTCCAATTAGCCCCACGAGGGCAGGGGTTGATGTCGGGGGCAGTGAGAACGCGCCCATTGGAAGACCCCGACTCTGGAAATAGGAGACCCTGGAATAGGGCCATAGTATCTCCCTGTGCAAACTCTTCTCATTCTCTCTGCAAGCGAGCTTGAAGTGTGCCATTGCGCCCACTTCACAGACAAGGTCACTGAGGCTCAGACCCTGGGTCACACTGAGCTATAAAAGTCGCACCCGGCACGCAAAGTTCCTAAGTTCTTTCGATCATGCCAGTCATTCAAGAACCATCCCCCCGCATTTACGTCCTGGTTTGTCTGCAGTCAGTTACCTTTCGCATAATGAAGCCGACCCAGGCAGCAACGCGCTGGGAGCTGCCCTGGCTGCTTTGCCCTTCTGCCCCAACGGGCAGTGAGGGAGACAGGGACGCTCTCTCCGCTGTCCGCGCCCTCTGGCACAGGAGAGCGGGCACCGGAGCGACTGCGGGGCCCGTCCCCAGGGCTGCCCGCTTAGTGCCTCCCCTTGGGGGCCGAACAGTGTCTCGCTCCGGCCCTGGAAGGGGCCCGTTGAGGCTGCTCGTCGCTCCCATCCCGAGGAAGGCCGGCCCCCTCCCTCGGTGTCCCCGCAGCCAACACAGCAGAGCTGCGGCTACACACCGCCCCTCCCACCCCAGCGCGGGCCAGGCTCCCACTTCTGCCTCCATGAGGGAGGCCAGACGGGGAGCGGGAAGGGAGGCCAGCCGGGCCGTGTCCTGGCACGTTTCTATTTATAGGGTGAAAGCCAGAGACGCGAGGGAAGCTTTGAGGCAGTAGCAGAGGAGACAGGAGTCAGCGGAGGTTGTCCAGGCACAGGGGCGGGATGGGCGTGATGGGGGAGGGGTAAGACGGAAAGGAGGCAGCTGCCGAAGTCACAGGG